CAGATGTTCAAGCTGGTTTTAGAAAAGGCAGAGGAACCAGAGATCAAATTGCCAATATCCGCTGAATCATTGAAAAAGCAAGAGTTCCAGAAAAACATCTATTTCTGCTTTACTGACTATGCCAAAGCCTTTGACTGTGTGGATCACAATAAACTGTGGAAAATGCTGAAAGAGATGGGAATACCAGACCACCTGACCTGCCTCTTGAGAAACCTGTATGCAGGTCAGGAAGCAACAGTTAGAACTGGACATGGAACAACAGACTGGTTCCAAATAGGAAAAGGAATACGTCAAGGCTGTATATTGTCACCCTGCTTGCTTAACTTATATGCAGAGTACACCATGAGAAATGCTGGGCTGGATGAAGCACAAGCTGGAATCAAGATTTCCCAGAGAAATATCAATAACCTCTGACATGCAGACGACACCACCCTTATGGCAGACAGTGAAGAACTAAAGAGCCTCTTGATGAAAGTGAAAGAGGAGAGTGAAAAAGTTGGCTTAAAGCTCAACATTCAGAAAACTAAGATCATGGCATCTGGTCCCATCACTTCATGGCAAATAGATGGGGAAACCGTGGAAACAGTGGCTGACTGTATTTTTCTGGACTCCAAAATCACTGCAGATGGTGGTTGCAGCCATGAAGTTAAAGACACTTACTCCTTGGAAGGAAAGTTATGCCCAACCTAGACAGCATATTAAATGTAATGTTGACATATTAAATGTAATGTTGACATTACTTTGTCAACAAAGGTCCGTCTAGTCAAGGCTATAGTTTTTAAAGTAGTCGTGTATGCATGTGAGAGTTGGACTATAAAGAAAGCTGAGCGCCAAATAATTGATGCTTTTAAATTGTTGTTGGAGAAGACTCTTGAGAGTCCCTTGGACTGCAAGGAAATCAGTCCTTAGTGTTCATTGGAAGGACTGATGTTGAAGCTGATACTCCAAAACTTGGGCCACCTGATGTGAAGAGCTGACTCTTTTGAAAAGACCCTGATGCTGGAAAAGATTGAGGGCAAGAGGAGGAGGGGACAACAGAGGATAAGATGGTTGGATGGCGTCATTGACTCAATGGACATAGGTTTAGGTGGACTCCGGGAGTTGGTGATGGACTGGGAGGCCTGGCATGCTGTGGTCCATGGGTTCTCAAAGAGTCAGAGACGACTGAGCGACTGGACTGAACTCAGTTAAATTCACCTATTCCAGTCCATTTTAGTTTGCTGATTCTTAAAATGTCAATGTTCATTCTTGCCATCTCCTGTTTGACCACTTCCAATTTGTGTTGATTCATGGAACTATCATTACAGGTTCCTATGCAGTATTGCTCTTTACAGCATCAGACTTTGTTTCCATCACCAGACGCATTCACAACTGGGTGTTGTTTTTGCCTTGGCTCTGTCTCTTCATTCTTTCTGAAGTTATTTCTCCACTGTTTGCCAGTAGCTTATTGGGCACCTACTGACCTGGGGAGTTCATCTTTCAGTGTCCTATCTTTTTGCCTTTTCATACTGCTCATGAGGTTCTCGAGGCAGGAATACTGAAGTGATTTGCCATTCCCTTCTCCAGTGGACCACATTTTGTCAGAACTCTCCACCAATACCTCTCCGTCTTGGGTGGCCCTAAATGGCATGGCTCATAATTTCCTTGAGTTATTCAAGGCTGTGGTCCATGTGCTCAGATTGGTTAGTCTTCTGTGCCTGTGGTTTTCAGTCTGTCTGCTCTCTGATGGAGAAGGGTAAGAGGCTTATGGAAGCTTCCTGATAGGAGAGACTGACTGAGGGGGAAATTGGGTCTTGTTCTGATGGGCTGGGCCATGTTCAGTAAATCTTTAATCCAATTTTCTGTTGATGGGTGGGGCTGTGTTTCCTCCTTGTTATTTACCTGTGGCCAAACTATGGTGAAGGCAATGAAGATAATGGTGACTTCCTTCAAAAGGTCCCATGCGTGCGCTGCTACACTCAGTGCCCCCAGCCCTTCAGCAGGCCACCACCAACCCACACCTCTGCCAGAGACTTGGACACTTTTGGGCAAGTCTGGATCAGTCTTTTGGTTTATCACTCCAGTATAAAATAGAGCTTGACTACAAAATTATCTATAGAGCATATAGCTGATTGTAAAGTAGTCAAGCTTGTTTACTAAGAGAGCACACTCTTGTATCATTAGACTGATCCATGAAAGAAAAACAAGGTAAAAAAAATGGAATTTGATTTTGAGTTCTAATTTTTTATCACATATTCCTCTTCCAGTCTGAAATATGTTCATTTTATTTTGTTTTTGTTTCCAAAATACAGCTGTGACTAATACTACTGCAGAAGATGTTACTGAAACAAATGAAGTTCAAGGATTTCTCTTTGGGAAATTAAAGTAAGTCTGAATAGAAATGAAACTATTATTATACTATTAAGCTTGTTTTTAAAGGAATAGATTCAATATGTTGTGTTGTCATATGTTTCACATTCTAAAAATATACATACTACTGTTTTTATTACAAAAGTAACACATAGTTAATGCAAAAAAGCTCAAAATTGAAAAATAATCACTAATTCCACAGGATAATGAGTACGATTAGAGATAATGGAAATTTAAAATTCCAGAGTTATCTCTGGCCAAAAATAAAACAAAAATTTGTAGAATCTTTTGTGATGGGTTACAAAACTCATAGTTATTATTGGGTTTTTAGCATAAAAAAATCAGCACTTTTATGTCTTAAAAGAGAAAATATTTATTTCCCTAAATTTCTGTCCCAAGATTGCCATATTAAATACCTTTTAACTTCTGGTCTTCATTTTATATACACATATAAGTAACCTTTCCAAAAGTAAACTTCTCCCACTTTGTTTTTTCCGCATCACTGATTGAAGACGAGGAATAGGATGGTGAGTGCTCTCTGATTGTTAATATAGGGGAATTTTAGTTTTATGTGTGGTTTTTCTTATTAACAAGAAGGGCAAGTTTGTGATTCCATTATAAAGGCAAAATTAATTAAAAATAAAGAACCATTTTTTAAAATATCTTTAGTTCTTTATTTAATATTACAAATATGTATAAAGGACACATCAGTTCTGTGAGGACATAATTGTACAGAACAAGGGGAACATTTTTGGACACTATATTGCTTTATACAGATGACTGAGTTACATTTCTGTAGTTTGCTGGACAAATTGTATGCTTGTAACCTGTTAATACTTCTTGTAAAATGGATTTAAGTAAGGTTTTTATTTAGTAGATAGCATTTTTATTCCATTTCCAGCTATGTCTCACATCGTAGAATCCATACTTTCTTAAACATAACTATTTATGGGAATAAGTTGCTTGTATTCCAAAAAGCCTTTGGAACCCTAGGATATTAGTTTTTTTGGAGAGGAAGCACCCAGGTTTTACATAATTGACTTAAGCAAAAAGCTTTTGCTTTGAGGTATTGTATGAATAATGTCTTTTTGCCTGGATTATATACATAATTTTACCAGTGAAAATTATCATTAAGTTTATGATTAAACATGAAAAGCAACACAACAGCTCTTGCAAACTTAATATTACTCTGTAACAAAATATTGTGAAAGGAGTGGTTAATTCATAGTGAACGTCTTTTCAAAGAAGTTCTATTGCTTTTTCACTATAAGAGCAGTCTTGATTAGTTTTCAAAATGTAGTCCCACATTGGAAGAAAATTTCAACATAGGACATTGCAGTGCATGTATTATTGTTAACTATGAGATTAATCCATTTATGTATGTACTGTATATTTAGTTTTGCTCTCACCTTAAAATACTCATTTCTCCTTACTGTCGAAAATACAAAATTTATTTATAAATTGTGCCAGTAGTTAGATAAACTTTTTTAAAAAGAATTCTCTCCAATAATAGGAAATGGTACTGTGTTGAGTTCATGAGAGATTGGAGAATAAGATGATAATTTTTATTATATATATGGTAAAATGCCATTAATTCTGCATTATTATTTGTCAGTCTTTAAGAATACCTCAGTTCAGTTCAGTCGCTCTTTCATGTCCGACTCTTTGTGACCCCGTGAACCGCAGCATGCGGTCCATCATCAACTCCCGGAGTCCACCCAGACACATGTCCATTGAGTCAGTGATGCCATCCAACCATCTCATCCTTTGTTATCTCCTTGTCCGCATGCCTTCAATCTTTCCCAGCATCATGGTCTTTTCAAAAGAGTCAGTTCTTCGCCTCAGGTGGTCAGTATACTGGAGTTTCAGCTTCAGCATCAGTCCTTCCAGTGAATATTCAGGACTGATTTCCTTTAGGATGGACTGGCTGGATCTCTTGCTGTCCAAGGGACTCTCAAGAGTCTTCTCCAACACCACAGTTCAAAAGCATCAATTCTTCAGTGCTCAGCTTTCTTCACAGTCCAACTCTCACATCCATGCATGACTACTGGAAAAACCACAGCTTTGAGTAGACAGGCATTTCTTGGCAAAGTAATGTCTCTGCTTTTTAATATACTATTTAGGTTGGTCATAACTTTCCTTCCAAGGAGTAAGCATCTTTTAATTTCATGGCTGTAGTCACCATCTGCAGTGATTTTAGAGCCCAAAAAAATAAAGTGCCACTGTTTCCACTGTTTCCCCATCTATTTACCATGAAGTGATAGAATCAGATGTCATGATCTTAGTTTTCTGAATGTTGAGCTTTAAGCCAACTTTTTCACTCTCCTCTTTCACTTTCATCAAGAGGCTCTTTAGTTCTTCTTTGCTTTCTGCCATAAGGGTGGTGTCATCTGCATATCT